GGTCAGGATGGTCTTGATCTCTTGACCTCGTGATCTGCCCACCTTGGCCTCCCAAAGTGTTGAGATTATAGGCGTGAGCCACTGTGCCCAGCCTATTTATTTATTTATGGTTTTTATTGTTGTTGTTGTTTTGTTTTGTTTTGAGACAGAGTCTCGCTCTGTTGCCCAGGCTGGAGTGCAGTGGCCAGATCTCAGCTCACTGCAAGCTCCGCCTCCCGGGTTCACACCATTCTCCTGCCTTAGCCTCCCGAGTAGCTGGGACTACAGGTGCCTACCACCTCGCCTGGCTAGTTTTTTTGTATTTTTTAGTAGAGACGGGGTTTCACCGTGTTAGCCAGGATGGTCTCGATCTTCGATCTCCTGACCTCGTGATCTGCCCGTCTCGGCCTCCCAAAGTGCTGGGATTACAGGCTTGAGCCTCTGCGCCCAGCCTTTTTTTTTTTTTTTTTTTTTGAGACAGCGTCTCACTCTGTCACCCAGGCTGGAATTCAGTGACACGATCTAGGCTCATTGCAACCTCCGCCTCCTGGGTTCAAGCGATTCTCCTGCCTCAGCCTCCCAAATATCTGAGATTACAGGCGCCACCACCACACCTGGCTGATTTTTGTATTTTTAGTAGAGATGGCCATATTGGCCAGGTTGTTCTCAAACTCCTGACCTCAGGTGATCTGCCCACCTCAGCCTCCCAAAGTGCTGGGATTACAGGCGTGAGCCAACACATCCAGCCTATATACACAGTTTATTTAAATAAAAATGCAAAACTCTTTACTGTTTTCCACAAGGTCCTGCACCATTCAGCCCCCATAACTTCTCTCTCCTCCGTTCACTGGACTTCGGTGAAATCTCTTTGCTGTTACTCAAACAGGCCACCTCAGGGCCTTTGCACTGCTGTTCTCGCTTCTCGGAATGCCCTTCTCTCTGTTCTTTTGCAAGTCACCTCTGCTTATCCTTCAGGTCCCCATTAAAATGTCACCTTTGGCCAGGTGCAGTGGTTCATGCCTATAATTCCATTATTTTTTGGAGGCTAAGGCAGGATGATGACTTGAGCCCAGGAATTTAAGACCAGCCTAGACAACACAGGGAGAACGCTCTCTACCAAAAAAAAAAAATTGAAAATTGAAAATTAGTTGGGCATGGTGGTATGTGACTGTGGTCCCAGCTACTTGGGCGACTGAGGCAGGAAGATCGTTTGAGCCCAGGAGTTTGAGGCTGCAGTAAGCTGTGATGGTGCCACTGCAATCCAGCCTAGGTGACAGAGTGAGACTTTGTCTCAAAATAATAAAATAAAATAAAATAAAATGTCACCTTCACAGGGAAATTTTTCCTGACACCTCCCCCCCCATCTAAGCTGAGCTCCTCATGACACCTCAGAGCTCCCAGTTCCCCCAAGCATGACCTCAGGATGTAGTTAATGAAGCAGTTACTTATGTGATTCACAATTGTCTCTCTTGCCTTCATTAGAACATAAGCTCCATGAGGCCCATGAGTTTTGTCTACTTGTTTATTGCTCTAGCCTTTTTTTTTTTTTGAGACAGAGTTTCACTCTTTTTGCCCAGGCTGGAGTGCAATGGTGCGATCTCGGCTCACCGCAACCTCCGCCTCCCAGGTTCAAGCGATTCTCCGGCCTCAGCCTCCCGAGTAGCTGGGATTACAGGCATGCGCCACCACCCTGGCTAATTTTGTATTTTTTTTAGTAGAGCCTGTTGGTCAGGCTGGTCTTGAACTCCCGACCTCAGGTGATCCACCTGCCTCGGCCTCCCAAAGTGCTGGGATTACAGGCATAAGCCACTGCACCCGGCCTATTGCTCTATTCTTGTATCCACAGCACATAGCACCAGCTCAGTCAATATTTGTTGATCAAAGAAATTCACCAATATTGGGCACCAACTTACAGACTGGCACAGAGCCTGAAAAGTGGTCAGTGTTCAAATTACGTTGAATGATTAAATGACTGTTGGAGGCCAGGCACAGTGGCTCACGCCTGTAATCCCAGCACTTTGGGAGGCCAAGGTGGGCGGAACACCTGAGGTCAGGAGTTGAAGACCAGCCTGGCCAACACGGTGAAAACCCATCTCTACTAAAAATACAAAAATTAGCTGGGTGTGGTGGCACACGCCTGTAGTCCCAGTTATTCGGGAGCCTGAGGGAGGAGAATCATTTGAACCCAGGAGTCAGAGGTTGCAGTGAGCCAAGATCCTGCCACTATATTCCAGCCTCGGCAACAGAGCAAGATTCTATTTGAAAAAAAAAAAAAAAAAGACCGGGCGCAGTGGCTCAGTGTCTGTAATCCCAGCCCTTTGGAAGGCTGACACGGGTGGATCACCTGAGGTCGGGAGTTTGAGACCAGCCTGACCAACATGGAGAAACTCTGTCTCTACTAACAGTACAAAATTACCTGGGCATGGTGGTGCATGCCTGTAATCCCAGCTACTCAGGAGGCTGAGGCAGGAGAATCGCTTGAACCCAGGAGGCAGATGTTGCAGTGAGCCCAGATCACACCATTGCACTCCAGCCTGGGCAACAAGAGCGAAACTCCGTTTCAAAAAAAAAAAGACTGTTGTAATCAGAAAATGTAAGCGTGGGAAACAGGAAAGGAAAGATTTCTCCCTGCCCCCTGACAGCTCCTGCCTCTCCCACAGCTCCGGGGAACCTTGTACAACACCGGCCGACATGTCTCCTTCCTGCCTGCACCCCGACCTGTGGTCAATGTGTCTGGGGGTCCCCTCCTTTATAGCCACCGACTCAGTGAACTGCGGCTGCTGTTTGGAGCTCGCGACGGAGCCGGCTCCGAACATCAGATCAACCACCAGGGCTTCTCTGCTGAGGTAGTGACCACTGATTGTTTACCGGTGAACCTGAGTCACCCCAGTTCCTCCCACCTCACCCTCGTAATGCCTCACCGCATCCTCCTCCACAGAACTGACCTCCCACCCTAAGCACTAATCCTCAGCCTGATTCGGGCCCCCAAAGCTGGGGTTATCCTCTCCTCCCCTTCTGCTGGGGGACCCCATGCTCTGTGCTACCCCCAGGTGCAGCTCATTCACTTCAACCAGGAACTCTACGGGAATTTCAGCGCTGCCTCCCGAAGCCCCAATGGCCTGGCCATTCTCAGCCTCTTTGTCAACGTGAGCGGAGGCGAGATTCGGAGGGAGGGAGCACTTGGGTGCCTGGAACCCGGGGTCTGAGGGAAGAGGGGTGCTGGGAGGCCCAGACTCCTGGGTCCTGGGGGAGCAGACGGTTGAGGGCTTGGACTTCTGGGCTCCTGTGTCCTCACCTTGTACCCCCACACAGGTGGCTGGTAGCTCTAACCCATTCCTCAGTCGCCTCCTTAACCGCGACACCATCACCCGCATCTCCTACAAGAGTAAGTCCCTGGCGTACTGGGGCCAGTGGTCACACATGAGGGGGTGTTCAAGAGTGCCGCCCTCCTTACTCTGGCCTGATATTCCTGCAGATGACGCCTACTTTCTTCAAGACCTGAGCCTGGAGCTCCTGTTCCCAGAGTCCTTCGGCTTTATCACCTATCAGGGCTCTCTCAGCACCCCGCCCTGCTCCGAGACTGTCACCTGGATCCTCATCGACCGGGCCCTCAATATCACCTCCCTCCAGGTGACCCTCTGTCCGCACCGCCCTTCCTAGGCCTGGGTACTCCACTCACTGGCCTGGGTATCCCCTTGTTCACCTGCCCTCCCTCTCCTCATAGACTGAATTTAAGGAGGTAAGAGGGTCAGACCACCTTTGGGGGTGGGGTGGGGCTGATAACAGGCCCCGCCCACCTGCTCCCAGGGGCGGGATTTCCCGCGTGACGTCACCAAGACCGTTCGCTGTTCACTCCCAGTTTCCCACCCTCCTTCTATGGCAGATGCACTCCCTGAGACTCCTGAGCCAGAATCCTCCATCCCAGATATTCCAGAGCCTCAGCGGTAATGGCCGGCCCCTGCAGCCTTTGGCCCACAGGGCACTGAGGGGCAACAGGGACCCCCGGCACCCCGAGAGGCGCTGCCGAGGCCCCAACTACCGCCTGCATGGTATGGTCCAGTCTGCACCCGCTCTATGTCTTGGGCTAACCCGCTTATATGTGTCTACCCTTGGTGTCTCCATGTGATTCAGTCCCATCCCCCTTCCTGCGTCTGTATGGTGTAGCCTCCTGAGCTGTCTCTTTTTCTCTCTCTCCCTACATATCAACGTGGTACAGTCCACCTTCCAGCCCCGGGTCATTGCTGTCCCACGATTTGTCTTTCCTCTTCACTGCTTTGTAACTTGGTCTATAACCCTTGACCCCTGCCTTCCTATGGTCCGATTACCTACTGTTCTGTGCTTCCTATTACTGTGAATTTCCAAAATGGTACAATTTGGATCCTCTCTCCCTTTCCAAGTCGTACTACTCTACGCTGTTCCACAATCTGATGCTCCTTTCCCCCTTACTGAGAATCTACAACTGCCTCCCTGTGGTTCAGCCCAGGGATCTCACACCCCCCGGCTTCGCAACATGGTACAGTCCACACCCCCCATGAAGACCTTCAAGTAGTTCAGCCTAATGCTGAATCTGGACATCCCGATTCCCCCCTCCTGTTGGCTTCTTGTGGTTCAGCCCAGTGCTTCTCGACCTGGTACATTCCGGTTCCCCGCTCACAGACTTCCGATGGTAGAGCCCTGCACGGCCCAGCCCACGCCCCCTGCACGCCCCCTGCCCCTTCCATCCTAAACTGACGCCTGCCGTTGTTCTCTGTCTTACAGTGGATGGTGCCCCCCATGGTCGCTGAGACTCCCCTTCGAGTATTGCACCCGCCCGTCCTAAGCCTCCCCACACGGCTAGGGGAGTTACTCCTAAAACAAAGCTATTAAAGGGACAGAACACTTCTTGTTTCTCAGTGGTCTGATTCTAGGCGCGGTGGGGAAACATTTGGGTATTAAAGAACAGACTTCTTCCGGAAACCAATCTTCCTCTTTTTAAGCCCCCGCTACTCGGCATTTTGGCTTCCTGCTTCTCAAAACCATCATTAGGACCGCGGCCCCTTTAAACGGCGCCCCTCTTCCCCCATCACACCCCTTACCACCAGGCAGCACGAGCAGAGCCATGTGCTTCCCCCTCCCGACTGCTTCATTGGCCCAAACTGGGTCACGGTCCCGCCCCCAGTACCGCCTCCCATTGGGCAAATGTAGGTCAGTGTCCCGCCTCCCACCGAAAGGCAAGGCAACTTCACGCGCTAAGCCCCTCACGCGCCCTCCTGGGCCCTGGCGTATCCAGAGGCCCCATTGGCTGTGCGTCTCAAGGGGTCGGAGACGATTGGCCTGTGTTTGCAGCCGGAGGGAGGCACGCGGCTGGGGTGCATGCCCACAGAGGCGGGCGGGGCTGGACGCGCCGGGCGGGGACCCGGAGGAGGGGCGCGCGCTGTGGCGTCGGGTGTTTTGGTTTGGATTTTTTTTCCGCGAAAGAAGTTTGCTTTGGCCACGCCTCAAGGCGGCCGCCTCCTCCTGCCCCCTCCTCCGCCCCTCCGCACACACCTCTCGGTGCAGATTGCAAAGCGCCTTCCGTTGCGAGAGCTGCAGATTTTGCAAGAGCCAGGCTCGCCCACCTTGTAGAAGGGGCGCCTTGGGTCCCCTCTCACCCTCGGTTGCAAAGGGCCGGCCGCTTGATTTGGACACCCCCTCGCCCAGACTGCATGATCTCCCGGGACCCTTTTGAGTTGCACGTTTCTGCACCGAGGACCTCAAATTCCCGTCGCTCCTAGGATTTGCAGCGTTCTGGATACTGGAGGGTTGCAGGCTACACTCGCCCGCCCCTGGGCAGACAGTCGTCCAAACCACTGGAGTGTGCCGGTGACTGGCAGGCCAGCCCTTCGCCTCTCCATGAACCCGTGAGCCTGGGGGCAGGTGCCAGGCGATGGCGCGGCCTGTGAGCGACAGGACCCCGGCCCCTCTGCTGCTGGGCGGCCCGGTCGGGACACCCCCTGGCGGGGGAGCGCTGCTTGGGCTGCGGAGCCTTCTGCAGGGGACCAGCAAGCCCAAAGAGCCAGCCAGCTGTGAGTTCTAACCCCCATCTCACCCAGTTCGGACACCCCACCCCCTTAAGGCCTCAAATGCCGTTGGGTAGGGGGTGGAGGCCCATAGACACCTCCTGTGTGGGGGG